CTCAACGCCATAACATACCGCGCGCCTTGGTAACCTGTGGTTATCAACATTTAAGGAGTAATATCTAAACTAAAATTGACAATGACTTATCTACTAATTACACACGCAACTTAAAATTAACGACGGCTCGATTACAATGTACGCAAGCAACTTAAAAACTAATAACATTATGGACGCTTGTCATCGCTTACGCAATCTTCTATCGGTAATACGCAAAGTTTGACAGCTGGACGTTTATATTCTCCCGTGGAGGTTTTTATAACAGCCGTTCTAACGATTTTATCCGCTCCTGGCAATACTGATATTACTCGCCCAAGAGACCATTTTAAAGGTGGTAAGCCATCTTCTCGACACAGGACCAATTGACCCACCTTGATTGGAGGTCCAACATTCGACAACCATTTATTGCGCCGTTGCAAATTAAGCAAGTACTCTGACGACCATTTTCTCCAGAAATGTTGGCGTATTTGTTCTATCATTTGCCATCTGGACAGTCGATTGATTTTTATATCCGTTATGTCCGCCTCTGGATAAGATGTTACCGTACTACCTATAAGAAAATGACCTGGAGATAAATAACTTAAATCATTAGGATCGGTGGATAACGCGGTTAAAGGACGAGAATTCAATATAGCCTCTATCTGCGTCACTAGCGTAGACGCTTCCTCGAAAGTCATTGCTGCCTCTACAGTGGTCTTATAAAAGTGATTCTTAAAAGATTTTACTGCGGATTCCCACAAGCCTCCAAAACGTGGCGCACGAGCCGGAATAAAATGCCATTTAATTCCTTCTGAAGCTGAGTATTCCACAATATTGTGTCCTTGTTGTTCTAGTGAAAAAAGCTCCTTGCATTTCTCTAACTCTCGATTAACCCCAACAAAGTTGGTACCGTTATCCGAGTAGACGTTAACCGGTCTTCCTCTGCGACTAATAAACCGTTTAAATGCATTGAGAAACGCATCCGTGGTCATGTCGGAGACCACCTCTAAATGTACGGCCTTGACTGCCATACATATGAATATAGCGACGTAAGCCTTGACACGCTTAGCTCTTCTCCTTCTGCCTTCTCGTACATATATGGGTCCACAAAAATCAACTCCTGTATTGCTAAATGGTTTTGATGGAGTTACTCTATTAATTGGCAAATCGCCCATTATTTGCTCAGAACCACGTGGTCTTAACTTGAAACACCTAATACAATTACGAATTAATTTTTTAACTGTGCCGCGCGCCCTGATAGGCCAATAAACTTGTCGCACAGCTGCCAGAGTAGCATCTGCTCCAGCATGACAATGTCTTGTATGTTCATGTAGAATGATTAACTCGGTGAGCCTGGAGTGATGGGGTAACAACAGCGGATGCTTAGTTTCATATTGTAGTTCCGCATGCTTCAATCTGCCTCCCACACGCAACAGGCCGAGATTATCCAAAAAAGGAGTAAGATGTCTTAAGCTGCTGTTCCTGGGTATAATTTTGTTTTTTTGTAAGGCACGTATTTCTGCCTCAAACGCAGATAGCTGCTCCCTCTTGACCAAACATACTCTTGCATGCTCCAACTCTTCTACTGTTAAAGGCTGCAACGATTTTACTTCGTTCCTTTTCTTGCACCGATCTGCAAACCGCAGGCAAGTAGCCGTGACCCGAACGAGTCTTCGAAAAGTAGAGAATCTACTTAAAAGATCATCCTCAGGCGGCTTAGAGATTGCTAGCATGGTTTGTTCGTGTTGATGCTCTTCAGGGCTATCCTCGATATCCTCGAGTTCCACTTGCTCGTCTATTTGATTCTGATTCTTCAGCCATGTAGGCCCATTCCACCATAACTGAGAACTGCATAATTCATTCGGAGATGTGCCTCTTGATACTAGATCTGCCGGGTTCTCCTTCGTTCCTACGTGGTTCCAATCTTCGACCGAAGTCAACTCTTGGATTTCTCCTACCCTGTGGGCAACAAAGACTGGCATCTTTTTATTAGTCGCCCTGATCCAGCACAACACTATCTGCGAATCAGTCCAGTAACTAACTTTTTTTATTTTAATGTACAATGAAGCTTTAATCTTGTCCAACAATTGAGCTAATAATTGAGCTCCACACAATTCCAATCTAGGGATCGAAATTATCTTAAGGGGCGCGACTCTGGATTTCGCACATAACAAATAAACTTGAGGTGACTTATTGTGATCGAGATATCGGATATAGACGCAAGCACCATAGGCTCGTTCACTGGCGTCACAAAATCCATGAAGTTGGATCTCTGCATCAGGATGATTCTCAACCACTTGACGGGGGATACAGAATCTATTTAAGTACTGCAAATCTGTAACATAACTTAACCACTTGGTAAATATATCAGAAGGCAACGATTCATCCCAGTCTATTCAAAGCTTCCATAATTCTTGTATTAATATCTTGGCCGTTAGTATTACTGGAGCCAATAATCCAAGAGGGTCGAATATTTGTGCTATACTCGATAACATTGACCTCTTTGTGCACGATACAGGAATGGCTATTTTGATGGAGTACTGAAACGCATCTTTTGCGTGATTCCACTTGACACCCAATGTCTTGACAGAGCCGTCCTTATCTAATTCAAGAATAGCGTTGTCCATTACGTTTCCTGGAATGTCCTTTAGGAGGTCTTCATTGTTGGAAGCCCATTGTCGAAGCACAAATCCTCCTGATAGAAGAAGTGCTGCTACTTGGTCACGAATTATTAAAGCCTCTTGCAAAGAATCAGCACCTGATAGAAGATTATCTATATAGAAATCTCTCAGTGCTATTAACGCGCCAATTGGAAATTGATTTGCTTCTAGTTCGGCTAATTTTTCGATTGATTTCGTGACTAGAAATGATGCTGGCACGGTTCCATAAGTCACAGTTAACATTTCGTAAGTTTTAATCGCTTGAATGATTTCTTCTCTTCAGACGATACGCTGCAATGCCACTTGATCTTCTTCCACGAGTACTTGTCTGTACATCTTTGCTATATCTGCTGTCATTACAAATATAAATCTTCTGAATCTCAGCAAAATGGAGAATAGATCCTGCTGTAATACTGGACCTGCCATAAGAGCGTTATTTAGCGAAATGCCGCTGGTGGTCTTGCTAGACGCGTTGAATACCACTCTTAATTTAGTGGTGGCGCTTGATTCCTTTATAACGCAATGATGTGGCATGTAGTATTGTGGTTGGATATTCCACCTCGCACTATTCTCTGGAACTTCTCTCATATGTCCCAAGTTTAGGTATTCACGCATGAATTTCGCGTAGTCTTCTTTTAACTGCGGTTGTCTTGCGAATCTTCTCTCTAAATGCTTGAGCTGCTGAATGGCCAGATCTCGCGAATCTCCGAGTTTTTGAAGCTGTTTTTCCTTTGTCGGCAAGCTTACGACAAATCGCCCTTCCTTGTTACGTTTGTATGTTCTTGCGAAATGCCCTTCACACATGCGCTCTTCCGGGGTACGAGTGTTCTGTCTCTGAATGTGCTCCATCTGCCAGAAACGAGTGAGACTCAGATTTAACTGTTCGTTGAGCGCTAAGCCGCAAATGGTTTTCTTGTGTTTCTGATCTTCAACTATCAAGTTTCCCGATGCTATCCAGCCGAGAATCGTCTTTTGCCATGTTGGCTGCGTTTTCGAATTCTTGATTTTGCCGATGCACATAAGATCGAAGAATATTTCTGCTCCTAAGAGTAAATCCACCTTAGATGATTTGTAAAACTCTGGATCTGCTAAGAGAATGCCTTCCGGAACCTGTAATTCGTTCACGTTAATACGATTGACGGGTATGGACTGAGTAATTCGATCTATGATTAGGCAATCGAGGTTAGCACTGAATTTGTTGATTCTTGAGTGCAATATTACTTTTACTCTCTTGTTCGTTTGTGTAGACATTTCTCCTAATCCACACACCGGAATATGTGTGGAAAACTGTTTCAGAGATAGCCTTTTAGCACAACTACTCGTGATAAAACAGGATTGTGACCCGCTGTCCAATAATGCTCGACAGACTACCTTATCGCCTTTGCTGTCTGTTATTTTGACTAGCGCTGTTGCGAGAAGCACCTGTTTGCTTGGCTTGAGAGCAGAATGGTTTACGCTTGTAGCAACCACCTTTTCTTGGTTTGCCGTACTCGTATCTTCGGTTGTTGACTCCGATGTCTTCGTTGTTGACTGCTCCAGATGAAGCAACGTGTTGTGCCGCTTATTGCATTTGCGACATAGTCCCAATGAGCATTGTTTTGCTATATGAGATGTGTCCTTTAGACAGTTTAGACATAACTTGCGCGATCTAGCTTCTTTGATCCTCTTGTCTACTTCTAGCTGCAAATAATCACCGCATTTGTATATAGCGTGATCTTCCTTCTTACAATATGCGCATTTGTTGCTGGTTGTGGCTATATTCGCTGATGTACTCTTTGATTGGCCGTGTTTTCCTTGAGCTGAGCCTGACGCTCCCGATGGTACTGTACGCGATGACGCCTCCAATGCCTTACACTGCTGCGCGAGGAAATCTGTTAGTTGCTTGAGTGTAGGCACTTCTCCTTTTTTCATGGAAGTTTCCCACGCTTTTCTTGTGTTCGGATCCAAGCGACTCGTTACCAAATAGATCATTAAGTCGTCCCAATGTTCAGTGGGCCTTCTTAATGCTTTTAATGTATGTATGTATGTATGCCGTTTATTGCATTTCCCCGTAGAGTTTACAAGGCGTTTTTATTTATGAGGAACATACTTAAACCTCGTACATTTTCTTTCCCCTGTGCCTGGCCATTTGCGACCTTACAAAAATATTTACCCCCCCTCCCCTCCCCTCTTCATCCCTCTTCTTCTTCCTCCGCTTCTGCCGTCAATTCTTTCTTCCATCCTTCCTGTCGACTCCTCCCTATTTGGCCTGCTTCCTCTCTCGTCCCTCCTCCTTCTCCTCCTTTGGGCTCAAGAGAAGCTTCTCCTCCAGCCCTCTCGTGATTTCTTCCTCCGCCGATCTCCCTGTGCACTTGTGCACCTCCCTTCTCCCTTCTTCTCTCTCCCTAACCCTCCTTTCCACCGACTTATCCTCGTGTATCTTAACTCCTATGGAGTTCCCTGCCCTTCTCCTCGCCTCCAAAACCCGCCTCTTTTCCTCCTCGTCTCCTAGCATTACCAAAATCGTTAACCATATCCCTCTCTGCCCCACCACTATCACCTCTCTTACCTTCACCTTCACCTTCAGCCCTTCTGCGAAAAGCTCCTTCACTTTCTCCCAGTTGGTCTCCTTACCTTCCCATTTCTCTTTCTCCACTCTTATAATTATATTCCTCTTTCTGAAGTCGTCCTCGTTCCTTTCACCCTCACCTGCCCACCATTTTTTCTTTCCCGCCCTACTTTCCTCGCTATCCTCCCTCTTCCTTTTGCCTCCACTTTGCTCCAGCCTTTCTATTTTTCTCTCCAGCCTCCTTACCTTCTCCTCCAGCTCCTCCATCCTCTCGTCCTTTTTTCCGTCTTCCTCCTTCTTTTCCCTCAGCATCTTCCTTAACTTCTCCTCTACAATCCCTTCCACTGCCTCCGCTATCATTCTCCCTTCACGCTCCATCCTGCCTGCTCTATAACAGAACAATTAATCACTTCTCCTTTTCTCTACTTTCCTCTTCCTCCCCTCCCACTTATCCTCCTCCCCCATCTCCCCTTCCGTCTTCCCCACTACCCTCCTTTAACTCCTCCAAATCTCCCTTTCCACTCATTCTCTCCCCTTCTAATTCTAACATCCATTCCTCTCCTCCTCCTTCCTTGTCCAAAACCCATCCTACCGCTTCCTGCCAGCTTCCCTTTCCTGAATTCCATCTTCTACATTCTTCCCATACATGCTCCCACGTTTCCTCCTTATTCCCACACAACCTACACTTCTTTTTCTCCTCCGCTTCCCAGTATCTGCTCTCTCCTATCTCGTTCCCTAATCGGAATCTCGCCACCCTTCCCCATCTACTTTCTCCCCATCCCTTCTTCAAATATCCCGGGATACCCTCTCCCTTTATCCACTTATACCACTTATTATATTCTGATTTCTCGATCCTCTCCCATCTCTCTTTTCTCTGCGTCTCCCTATCCCCTTCAAACAATTTAAGAAACCATTCGTATCCATCTCCTCTTATCTTTTCCACCTCTTTTAACCCCACACCTCTGTCTTCGAAGAACTTTCCTCTCTCTCTTTCCCAATCTGAGCCAGCTTTCCCTTCCATCTCTCTTTCCTTCAACTCTTCCCAGGCAGACCTCGCCAGTTCACTTCCTCCACCTTCCTCTAACTTTTTCTCAAATCTCCACGCCCTCATTCCTGCTCTCCCTCTTAATTTCTCCCTTTGTAACTCCTCCCTCACTAGATACCACGGTGTTTTCACGTCCGCTCCCAATACCCATCTAATGTACCTTTCTTCCATTCTTTCTATTCCTTCCCTTTCTCTCCATCCCCATATTTCCGCTCCATAACTCAACACCGTCCACACCAGTCTATCGAACAGCCACAGTCTTTTTCCCCAGTCTTTCCCGAATCTCCTCTTCCCTATCCCCCAGACTTTTCCCATCACTGCGGCCGCCTTTTTGATCCTTTCCCTTATTTGGGCTTCCTGCCCTCCACTTCTTTGAAACACGTATCCTAAATACCGAAATTCCCTCACCTCTTCTAACTCTTTTCCTTTCCATCTCCACTTTCTCTTACTGTCCCTCCCTCCTCCTTTCCTAAACCTCATTATTTTTGTTTTCCCCACGTTCAATTCCAATCTCTTCCTGCCCAGGTACCCCTCTAGTCTTTTTATCAGACTCCTCATTTGGTCCTCGTCCTCTGCGATTAACACTATATCATCCGCGTATGCCAGAGTATACACCCTCTTGCCTCCTAGCATTATCCCTCCCTATTTAACTCTACCCATTTCCTCTTCCAGGTCTGCTAGCAACACATTAAACAGAATCGGGCTCAAAGGGCATCCCTGCCTTACTCTCCTCCCCGTCCAGAATACTTCTCCCAATTCGTTTCCTCCTCTTACCCTACTCTTCGTCTCTCTTAACATCTCTTCCGTCCTTCTCACCAGTCCTTCCCTTATTCCCCTTTCTCTCATAGCTTTTATTAGTATTCCTCTATCCACCGAATCGAACGCCGCCTTAAGGTCCACAAAACATGCTATCAGTTTTCCCCCTTTCTTCTCTAACCTTCTGTTCACCATGTAGTTCAACACGTAAATGTTGTCTATCGTTCCCATTCCCCTTCTAAAACCTGTCTGGTTGTGCGGTACCATTCTCTTTCCCTCTATCTCCTCCCTTATCCTCTCCGCCAGAATAGCCGTGTACACCTTATACAAAGAAGGCATTATTGTCACCCCTCTATATTCCTCTGCCCTCTTTCCTTCCCCTTTCTTTACGATTGGCGCAATTATACCTTCCTTCCAAATTTCCGGCCATCCTCCCCCCTTCCATATCTTATTGATAAATTTCCATGCCCAAACCTCCAACCCCTTCCCCCCTCGCTTCCAGGCCTCTCCTGGAATCTCATCCTTTCCCATTACCTTTCCGTCCTTTAGCTTCTTTATAACTCTCCTCATTTCCTCTAGACTTATCTCCTCTTCCTCCTCTCCTTCCTTTTCTTCCCTCTCTCCTTCCTTCCCCATCTTCACCCTCCCCTCTACTCCTCCTAATAACTTCATAAAGTGCTCTTTCCATTCTTCCTCTTCTATTCCTTCCTCTATTCCCCTCCTTTTCCTTCTCTCCCTATTCACTATCTCCCATACCTCCGCCTCCCTCCTTGCTCCCTCCACTTTTCTCTCCCATCTCTGGTTCTCCTCTTCCTTCTTTCTCTTACATATCTCCTTAAATTCTTTCCTCCTTTCCTTGTACGCACTGGCCTCTTCTCTTTTCTTCCTCCAGTCCCTTAATTTTCTCCTTGTCTCTTTCTTCGCTTCTCGACATTCCTCATCCCACCATCCCACTTTCCCCTTCTTATTTCCCAGCTCCTCCTCTACCCCTTTTATTGCCTCTGTTATTCTTGTTTCCATTTCTTCCCATTCCTTATTCAACTCTTCTTCTTTTTCTTCCACCTCTCCTATTTTTTCTATAAACCTCTTTGCTCCTTCCTCGTTCCACACCCCCCTGCTTCTTTTCTTCCACCCTCCTCTCCTGCCTTCCTCCTCTTCCCCCCTTCTTACTACTATTTCCAATGGGTGATGGTCCGAGTCTACTCTCTCCCCCACTACCATGCTCACTATCTTCTCTCTTACTTCTCCTTTCCCTATTATGTAGTCAATCACCGTACCTCCTCTTCCCCCCGTGAAAGTAAACTCCCCCTCCTCGTCTCCTCTCACATTTCCATTGAATATCTCCCATCCTCTCTCCTCTAAGCTATTTACCAACAGCCTCCCCTCTCTGTCCACCTTCTTGTCCTTCGACCTTCTTCCTTCTCCCAGTCCTCCTCCCTCCTCTTCCTCTATCCTCCCACCTTCTTGACCAGTCCTCGCATTAAAATCTCCCCCAATTATCGTATATCTTCCTTCTTCTTTCTTTTCCATTCTATCTCCTAACTCCTGTACGCTCTCCTCCATCCCCTCTTTCTTTGCATACACCCCTATAATACTCCAGTTCTCGTCATCTGTTTTGACCTTTCCCGCAATCCAACCCTCCCTATCTACTTCTATTGCCGTTCCCTTTTCTTTTAATCCTTTCCTTATTCCCATTATCATCCCTCCTATTGCTCTTCCTTTTTTATTCTTTTTTTTCGCCATTTGCACCCCCCACTCGTACCCTTTTGGAAGTCTCCCCCTTATTCTTTCCCAGCCCTTTTCTCCTATCCAGGTCTCTAACATGACTAACACATCTTCTTTCTTCAGCCCTTCCCAAAAATCCTTATCTTTATTTTCCAACCCAGCTACGTTCCAGAATACTATCCTCCAAACTGACTTACTTTTCCCCTCTTCTTCTCTTCTAACTTTCGCGTTGTCCTTCTCTATCTCACCCCCTCTATCCTCTTCTCCTCTTATTCCCCCGTCTCCATTCCTACCTCTCCCTCTCCTCCTTTACCTTCTTTCCCTTCCTTCCCTCCTCTGCTCTCCTTTCTTCTCCTTCCCCTTTCGTCCTTTAACACCTCCTCTTCCATATTCCATCTCCACCAAGTATTTTCCAACCTTATTCTGCCTGCCTTAATCCATGCCCTCCTATCCTCTCTTTCCTCCCCTCTCGCTATCTTTCTCAACCTCCAATTCATTCTTGTTTCCTCCCACGATAGGTCCTCCGTAATTCTTTCCTTTCTCCCCACTAGGCTCCTCTTTTTTTCCATAACCTCCCATTTCTGTTCTTCGTTCTCCAATTTCAACAGCACCATTTCCCTTCCTTTTTCTGCATCACCTCCTATTCTCTTCACCTCTATTGCCTTTACTTTCGCTCCTATTCCTTCTAGTAACTTTTCTGCATTTTCTCTCCTCCCTCCTTCTTTTACTTCTAGCCCTCTTATTACAATGTTTCTTCTTCTCTCCTCCTTTTCTTTCCTTTCCAGCCTTCTCTCCAGTTCTCTCATTTTCTCCCCCACCTCCCCTCTACCGTTTCTTTCCTCCTCCTTCTTCTCCTCCTTCCTCTCTTCCATTTTTTCCTCCAATCTCCTTATTCTTTCTTCCATTTTCTTCTTCTGCTTATTTGTCTCTTTCCTCTCCTCTTTCCATCTCTTCTCTCGCTCCCTAAACTCCCTTCTCAGGTCCTCTATCTCTTCTCTCATTTTCCTACCCTGCTCCTTGAAACTTTCCCTTAGCTCTTCTCTCACTGCCCTAAATTCCTCCATCATTTCTCCCATTCTTTCTCCCAACTCCTTCACACCTATCTCCGAGTCTTTTTTAGGAGATCTTGCCGTCATGTTACTTCTCTTAAAAATCTCCTCCTTTTCCTCCCCCCCGCTCCTATCCATTTCCTCCCTCTTCCTTTTCCATAACTCTTCTATATTTCCCGTGCTCCCCCTCCTAACTTTCTCCTTTTCCTTAACCTTACCTATCGCACTCTTTCCCTCCCTCCCGTTTTCTTTCCCTTCACTCATCTCCTCCTAACTCGGCTCACTTCCCCCTCTAGCTCCACCACCTACTCTATGCCCTGCCTCGCGCCGCTGTCCGCGTCCCGGATCCCGTGTCGAGTCGCCCCTCTCTCTTCGCTATTGTTCGCGCCCTACCTCGTGCTGCCGCTCTCGGCTCGGCTCACCTACCGTGCGCCCCTCTAGCTCAGCTACCGTTCGTGCTTCCACCTTCTCAGTGCTTAGACACTTTACCTCCCTTTATCTCCTCTTACCTGCCCCTCCTCTGTTCCCCTTCTTACCTCCTCACTCTCTCACCTCCACACCTCCTCGCTCTATCACCCTCTCCTTCCTCAGCCTCCCTCGTCACTCTCTTCTAAACCCTTTTGCTCTCGCTCACTTGCACACCTGTCACTCTCGTTCTCTCCGGAACCGGACATATTAATCTAATGCTTTTAATGCTCGCAAGTGTTTCAAGACGCTATCCAAAAAACGTCGTAGCAATATATGATTCTCTTTAACTATTGCTGGAATTTCAAACAACGCCTTAATGTGCTTTTGGACAATGAAGCCCGAATCGTCGTATCTTTCTTTCAGCATCTCCCAAGCTTCAACGTAGTTCTCATCCGCTACGTCTAGAGACCCAATTACATCTAGTGCTTCGCCACTTAATGCTGCGAGTAGATACTGCATTTTTTGTATGTTGGGAAGCGTGGCATTCTGGTCAATCATACTCTGGAACATATTACGGAATGGAATCCATTCTTGGAACGCACTCGAAAATGTGGGCAAATTGACGCGAGGCAATTTTAAATGATCGTTAGTGAATATACTTCCCTGAGTAGCCGGCGTTCCTTCCCTTAAGTTTCGTGGAACCTGGTTTAGGTTATGTGCCGCTGATCCCATCTTGCTTTCGATCATCGTTTCAAGCTCGGACGTAATAGCGAAGTATCTCTCTTCAAAAGAACGTTTTTCTTCGTCATGATTTCTTGCATCGTCCGGACTAACCTGTATTTCTTCAATCTCTGTTTGTATTCTGTCGAAGTTGTCCCATGTCTCGTTGAATTTGTGCAACCGTTGACGCAGCTCGACAATTGATGTATTTCGCACGTCTAATCCATCTAGATACGAACTAAACCTAGTGCATTGAGATTTTATCTGCCCGCGTTTCTGTATCAACGATTTCAAGCTAGCGGCAACATCCGCCTGTGCCTCTGCCATATCGACCTAAGATTTTTCGGAGGCAGGGTTATGAATCGCCGCGTGCGATTATGTACTGAGTTGCGATCTTTCTAGTTATCGACTTATCGATTTATCGACTATCGTAATGGCAGCTCGATTGCTTCCTGCCTCTATGCCCGTGATATCCGGTACAATAAAAAATGGCGAATCTCTATCTTACGCGCCTTAACTACGCACGTAATTCTGCAGACGAACGAGAATGGCTTTTACAGATGAACGAGATTGGCTGCGCTTTGCGGTTACTTATCGTTTGCCCGATAGCGGCCCAAAAATGACACTCAGGACTCGATGCTTCTGCGGGTCTCGTATTAGCTCGACACAATACCTTGAGTCGTCCTTTCTCGCCCAAGCCGTTGTACAATTCTCAATCCTCGATCCAAATCCGGCTCGAAGGACCAAAATGTTATTGCTCCCAACTTGGGGGCTTGTGCGTATGCACGTATTCGTCGTGAATAAATAAATCCTGGGATTAAAGTGGACTGTATAATTTTTACTTAACGTTCGTCCGTACAAAGGTATCGCCAGATCGCAACTGACGATCGCTCCCGCTTCGCCTAACGGCGGAATCTAGCATTAACTATCGCCGCAACGACACTAGTGGCGCACACGCCGTCTAATCGCGGTGATTTTGAATCAAAATACAAAAAAAAT